GTGCCTTTGATATATATGAGTGTGATTTTGTTTGTATAAACCCTTCTCTCCTCCTCATCCTCCTCAATCTATGGCTTCTGGTTTCTGGGGTATTTTTCCAATGCATGCACTGTAGAAGATCACCAAACACCATAATCATGTTTTAGCATTGTTTTTGACTAAGAAAGTTTGATTGATTAATTAGAAAACTTAATTAATGGCTTAATTTGTGAATTAATTGAGGGTCCACCAGACAGCTGATTATGATGTAAAAGCAAAGAGAAAAGACTTCCAGAAAAGGTACTCTTCCCCATATATTCCACTTTTGCCTTAGAATTTAACCATTTAAGGTGATGAGAATATAGTAGTGACTCTGAAGAGAGTTGAGTTTTCCATCAGTGTTCTCATAAATCCAGTGAAAATTCTCTCTTGGGATTGTATTATTACTGGTGTGGTGTGAGAAGCAGCAAACCATGGCTGAGCTGAGGGAGAAATAAGATGGAGAGGGGAAGTGTTAACTTTTTTGATGTCTTTAATAATTTTGTACGGGTAAGAGAACATGTTGCCAGGTGGTGTGTCTTAGCAGAGGCTAGCATCTGTAAGAGAATCCAATGAAGAGACTCGTGCGGGTTGTGATATCATTGTTCACAGTGAGAATCTCAAGAAAATTTTCATCTTTTTCTACTATACTTTTCTTCTTCTTGATAATAATGCTCTGTATTTCTTTGGGTACTTCTCTCAGTTTCATCATCAACTATGTCTCTTTTGATCAATTATTATTTCTTTTCATCATTTTCATTTTATCGGAATGAATATCCCTTATTTTTCTTTTTAAATGTGATGATGGGATATAATATTCGACAATTATCTCATTTTTATAAGTAAAGTGTTTATTAATTAAATTTATAAAAGAATTAAGTGAAATATTACTTTAAAAATAAGTTTGTAATTAAATTTTTATTTAAAAATTTAAAATAATTTTTTATTTTTAATATATTTTTTGAAAGAATCATTTTAAAATCATTCAATCTGCAGAACCACAACCATGGATGCTACACATTAACACAATTAAACATGCCAGCACAGAACTCCACTAAACAACTCGATGAATCACTTTTCATCGAGAGAGGTGAGATATTTATTAGATTTAAAGATCAAATTTTTAGTTGTTAATAATTAATAAAAATTAATTTATTAATTATTGTCTTTGTCAAAAAAAATAAAAAACATGTCAGCACAAAATTCAAAAAAAAAAATTGTGATTTATAGGAATAAAACTTGAATGTCAACTTCTAAAACTTTAATTGCTTAATCAAGATTTTATTGATTATTTATTGCAAGTTTTTCTCTATTTTATTCTAATTTTTTTTAAAGTATTATAGACTTAGTTTTCTACTTCCTCTATATCTCTTATTAAGGATTTGGAAAAAATTTATAATTTTATTTATATTGTTTTTTAAAAAATAAAAATAATTACATTTTTTATAATATGATTGATAATTAAAATTAAAATATAATAATAGCATAGAAGTAAAAAAATATTTGTTTGTTTAAATATTAAAAAGTAATTATTATTTTAAAATAAATTATAAATATATTTTTTTAATTTTAAGACAAATAGAGTAAATATGTTGTCTTTCTTTCTCTCTCTCTCTCTCTAGTTTGTTTATATTGTTTGAAATATGCTGTTTTAAACCACTTGTAATTAAATATAATTAGCATTAGTGCATGTTGTCTAGACTTCTTATAGATTTTAAATCACAATTTGAAAATTTACATATTCTACAAATTAACTTAAGATAGCTTAACATGATTCAAATCATCTCATAAACTTAAAATGATAGTAACTAATACTATTTTAAAATCCACTTACTTTACAAACTTGAAACAACACTTTATTTGAAAAGAAAGTACTAATAATTTATTTAAATAAATTTATAAAAAGGTATTGTTCTAGATTTATAAAACTAATAAATATACATTAGTCATATGGTTTGATAGTAAAGATACATAACATTTTTAATTGCAAGGTTAGCCTTCAATATCTTTTCTATACCTACCAAAAAAAAGACTAATATATATACCCTTTTAATATTATTTTTGTTTATTTTTAATAAATTTAATTTGATTCTTTAATTTTTTAATATAAATTTTAGACACAAATTTAACATATTATATGAATAATAATTAAAAAATTTTATCAAATAAAAATAATTAAAGTTCTTGTTAAATACTTTTATTTGATAAAAAAATTAATTATTATTTATATAATATGTTAAATTTTTATTTAATATTTATATTTAAAAAATTAAACAATTAAATTAAATCTGTTAAAAGAATACATAGAGTACGTTCCTTTTTAACTCGGGAAAGCAGATTGCTTTCTTTGCCTCTCCTGATTTAGAGCTCT